GCGCCTTGTTGGCGGAGTCCCCCGCGCGATCATTGGCTGCCACCCCTCGCCTAGCGAGGCCACCCGCACTGCGAGCCCGCGGGTGCGTCTGCGCCAGCGGCCTTGTTGCCCTTGCCCTTGGCCGCCACGGTGGCCATCTGCTTGGCCTTGGCGACCGAATCCGCGACGATGGCGGCGGCAACTTCAAAATTGGCGGTGGAAGGCTCCGCGACCGCGTGCTCGGCAGCTGGTTCCCCAGGCACGCTGGACCCACAGCTGGCGCCAGGCGCCCCTGCAGAGGCTTCGCCAGGAGTGGCGGAAGGGGCTGCGCCAGCGGCAGCGCCGGGTTGCTGCTGAGGAGCCGAAGGTCATTCAGGCTCTTGTTCAGCGCACCGCTTGCGCTTGGCGGGGTTTTCAGAGAACCCCTTGGCGTTGCGGATAATGTCGCGAACGTGGGCCTGGCCTTCGTTGAGGGCCTTGATGCGGTCGTTTAGGTCATTACTCCGCTGCTCCATCTGGATCTTGGTGGCATCGTGGTACTTGTCGAGGTCGTCCCAGATCGAGGTGTCGATGCGAAGGAGCTCGGTGGCTGGCTGCGGTTCGCGAGAGGCCACTTCTCCTCCCAGCTTGCGGCGTTGTTCCTCCTGCGCCTGCTCGCACACGCGCTTGGCCTTGACCAGTTCGAGAGCAGTTTGCTCGTGGCGCTCCTTTGCGGTGTCGAGCCACCGCTGCGCCTCCTCGACGTCGCCCAAGGTCTACTGGAAATTGCGCTCGCGGTCCGTGAGGACGGAGAGGGCCAACTGGAGCGCCTGCTCTGCGGAGCGCGCAGGAAGGAGGAGGAGGAGGAAGAGGAGGAGCAGGAGGAGGAGGAGGAGCAGGAAGAAGAGGAGGAAGAGAAGGAGCAACAGCAGCAAGAGGAGGAACGACAGAAACAATCTGAATCACTCATGGGCTTGTTTCTTGGATGCGCGTGTATTCTTCGAGGTTATGGTGTTGGTGGGCGTTTTTTTCGGCGTTTCGACATTGAGCGGAAAGGGGGGGACGGGGAGGTATGGCTATAGAACTCTGCTTAATGCGACTGTTTGCAAGAATGCTGCCTCTGGGGAAGACTCCACCCGCTCGAAACAGGCGCCAAAAAACAGCCGAGATCGACTCCATAGGGGAAGGGAGGGGGCGCGCCGAACGGCAAAATAGTGAATAAAAAACGATCACTTGTCCTCCTGACCCTCCTCTTCGAATTCCACCCCATCCCCTCCTCCTCCTCCTCCTCCTCCTCCTCCCTCCTCCTCCTCCTCCTCCTCCTCCTCCCTCCTCCTCCTCCTCCTCCTCCTCCTCCTCCTCCTCCTCCTCCTCCTCCTCCTCCTCCTCCTCCTCCTCCTCCTCCTCCTCCTCCTCCCTCCTCCTCCTCCCCCTCTCCTCCTCCTCCTCCTCCTCCTCTCTCCTCCTCCTCCTCCTCCCCTCCTCCTCCTCCTCCTCCTCCTCCTCCTCCTCCTCCTCCTCCTCCTCCTCCTCCTCTTGATCATCCTCCTCATCAGCATCATCATCATCAGCCTCATCATCATCCTCAACAGCATCATCATCATCACCACCATCACCATCACCAACATCATCATGATCATCAGCATCATCATCATCAGCAGCAGCATCATCATTACCACCACTTCCAACATCATCATGATCAGCATCAGCATTTGAAAAATCATCAGCATCATCATAATCATCATCAGTATCATCCTCATCGTCATCATCAGCAGCATCATCATCATCATCATCATCATCATCATCATCATCATCATCATCCTCTTCGTCCCCCTCGACGCCCTCTTCCTCGTACCCAAACCCACGACGCGATCCGACAATATCATGTCCGACCGCAGTGACGAACAGGCCGCACATCGACGCACATTCACCCTCCAAGCCGTCGGGCGAGGCAACCCCCAACGCGCCCTCTCCACCTCCAGAGCCGCGACGAGCTCCCCCACGAGCTCTTGCACACGCTGGGCGACGGCGGCCGCGGTGTCCGCGACCTGGCATCGCGGGGGCGGCGGCCCCCGAGCCCATCGACGGGAGGGCCCCCGCCCGACCCCGCGAGCAGCAGGGCCCTCTCCGACGCCCACCCGCGAGCGCGAGTGGCGAGGCGCAGGCGGGCCTCCTTGCAGGCCGCTCCACCGCGGCGTCCCGCGCGCCCGCGGACATGACCGCCGACGCCACTTGCTCCCTCTCGCTGCCGCGCGCGCCTGCGCGCCTGTGCCCGCCGAGCAGGCTCGCCCGCCCGCCCCTGCGAGCGGCAGCGCCCTCTCCAGCGCCCAGCCCCCGGTCGCTGGCCAGGCGCCGCACCTCTGCCGGTGGTCCGTGCTGCACCTCGGCCGACGCGAGGGAAGGCCCTCTCCCGCCGGGGCGCCCTCGGGCGAAGGCGCGGCACCTCGCCGCCCGAGCTGCTCCCGCCCCGGAGCGCCCCCGCGCCGCCAACGCGGCCAGCCAGCCGAGGGGCCTCCCCGCAGCACCGCCGCCGAGGGGGCTGCGGCGCCGCGCATGCGCCCGCTGCGCCGGCAGCTCGCCGGCGCCGCCGGCGGCTCTGCCAGCGGCGCGCGGGGGGCCGGGAGATGGCGACGCCGACCGTGCATCGCGGGTGATAGGGCGGGGGGGCGCCACAGGGTCGACGGGGCCGTCCACGAAAGGCTGGATCGACATCTTGTGGCGGCGAGCGTGGGGGGGAAGCGGGCAGGAGAAGGCCTCCTCGGAAGGCTCGGAAGTCCCCCGGCCTGGTGAGAAGTTCTTTGAAGGCCTCCCCGAAGAAGACACACAAAAACCTCTCCACCTCTCCAGGGCGCGAGGGATCCTGAGAAGCCCTACGGGGGGGCACAGGGTCGACGAGGCCGTCGATGAGAAGCTGGGCCAAGGCTATGGACACCTCATCCAACGCCCCTGCTCACGCCCTGGCCCCAAGTGGAGCCAGAGCGGGCGCACGGATAAACTCCTGGCCTCCAGGGCCACGTTCTCTATCCCTGCCCCGCTTCCCGCGGGGCCCAGCGTGAGGGGCAGCAGCAAGGGCACGGAGCGAGCGTCGGTCATCGACGTGGACCCCTTGCTGCCCATCGGCCTTGGGCGGGCTTGGGCTGTCTTCGGCGGTCTTCTGTCAGCCTTCTGGCGGTCTTCGGCGGTCTCCGGAGGTTCTGGGCGGTCTCCCGGCGGTCTCCGGCGCCACAGCAGGACGGTTGCGCGCGGAGTTTAGCAAGAGGTCCATGACCGACACCTGAGTCAAGGCAAGGCCGAAGGCGAGGCAAGCGCGCGATGACGGTCCGACCAGACTGGCCCCAAGAGGGCAGCGCCCAGGGGGGGACGGGGGGGACGAGTGCCCTCACTGGTCGGCCTGGGAGGTGGAGACCGGAAGTCGGGTTAGTGGATGCGCATGAACACGGCTGGAGCCAGAAATGAGACGAAGCTAGGACGAGGATAACATCGGGTAAACATAACATGGAAAGATCTGAGATCCAGCGGTTCTGGAGGATGCCTCGGGCCCCGCGGCCTTCTGAGAACGTTCCGTAACGCTGTGAGAGCGTTCTGGAACGCTCTGAAACGGATTGATCCACGTCCTAGACCCGTCCAACATGAACACGGCTGGAGCCAGGAGGTCGGAAGACGGGGTGGGACGCACGTGAGCCAAAGTCGGAGAAACACTGGTTAACAGAAGTGTGGGAGCTCTGGGCGGGATCGGTCAGCCTCGACTCAGCAAACTGGATCGCATCGACGTGTGCGTCGGATAGGGGCCGCATCCGCACCCGCACGGAATCGAAATCGAACTGGATCGGCTGCGCCAAGATGATCAGCATCCCTGTGCAAGCACGGGACCGCGCCAGGGCGCTGGAGAATCGAATCCGAAATCGGATCGGATCGAGCGGGCCAGAGGAGGAGGAGCGAGAAGGAGAGGAGGGAGGAGGAGGAGGAGCGGGAGGAGGAGGAGGAAGGAGGAGGAGGAGGAGCGAGGAGGAGGAGCGAGTAGGAGGAGGCGAGGAGGAGGAGGAAGGAGAGGAGGAGGAGGAGGAGAGGAAGGAGGAGGAGAGGAGGAGTGACGGAGGAGGAGACGAGGAGGAGGAGCGAGGAGGAGGAGGAGAGCGATCGGATCGATCGGATCGAAACGGACCCTGTGCGCGAGGCGGGGACTTGCCCACGTCCGCCGTCTGGGGTCCGACGTCCTGGGGACCCAGCGGGATGGACGTTTCCTAGCCCCCGGGAGCCAAACATATATCCGGCTCCCCCGCCTGCGGAGGTCCGCGAAAACCGGTCGTCCAGGCGGTGATTTGATGCATCGATCCCCGACTCGAAGTTGTGGGGTCGAGGTCAGACTGGGGCGAGCTGCCCGGCGCTGTGCCTCTCTTTTTTTTGTTGCTTCGCCCTGAAGTGCCGCAGTTGCCTTCCAACGAGGTCGGGCTGACGGCTTGCTCGGAACGCAAGGACAATCAGATTCTTACAAGCTCGCGGCAGCCAGGCCGAGCCCAGCAGGACAGAAACGAGCGTGTCCAATTAGAATGTCGGAGTGGACGGGATAGGGCGCAACCTGCCCAGCGCTGTGCTTGGGCCGCCAGGGGCCCTTTGGGTCTGACTCCCCGCCACCGCCGCAGCCCGCCCCCCGCCGGCTCGTGGAAGAGAGAGGCCCGCCGCGCTGCGGCAGAGGCCTGCCGCACTGCGGCACGGTCGGCAGGGGGCCCAATCGGGTGCGCATCTTGCCGCCTCCTCGTCCGCCTCCGCGTCCTCCTCCTCCTCATTCTCCTCCTCCTCCTCCTCCTCCTCCTGCTGCTCCTGCTCCTGCTCCTGCTCCTGCTCCTCCTGCTCCTCCTGCTCCTCCTGCTCCTCCTGCTTCTGCTCCTGCTCCTCCTGCTCCTGCTCCTGCTCCTCCTCCTCCTCCTCCTCCTCCTCCTCCTCCTCCTCCTCCTCCTCCTCCTGCTCCTCCTCCTCCTCCTCCTCCTCCTCCTCCTCCTCCTCCTCCTCCTCCTCCTCCTCCTCCTCCTCCTCCTCCTCCGTACCCATTTTGGCTCAAGCGATTGAGTCGGCACAAGGGATCAGCGGCCCCACGATTCTGCTGGGACTGGTGGCCGTCCCGCCTCAGGCACCATTCCTCTCACAAGAAGATGGCGAGGAAAAGCGAGTTCACGGTGTGCGAGTGCGGCAACTGGGCGCTCAATTGCCGCATCGCTGCGAACAACGGCAAGCGTGCGAAGCGTGGGCGCGGCCTCGATCCCTTTCGCAGGGCTGCGAGGCCTCCGTGGCAGGCAGATCGGCGACGTGCACGGCACTGCCAGCATCACACGGAGAACGGGGGCACGCGGGGCCTCTTCCTCCTCCTCCTCCTCCTCCGCCTCCCCCTCCTCCTCCTCCTCCTCCTCCTCCTCCTCCGCTCCTCTCGTCCTCCTCCTCCTCCTCCTCCTTCTCCTCCTCCTCCTCCTCCTCCTCCTCCTCCTCCTCCTCCTTCTCTCGCAAAGGATCCCAAGGCGTTTCTGGAGCAGTCGGCGGTGCTCCCGCAGTTCGCCGAGGATGTCACCGTGCTGCAGCGGGCTCAGGAGAGGTACGCCGAGAGCCAGGCGGAGCAGCGTACTCCCCAGGAGTTCGACAAGACGACGGCCAGGGAACTCGAGCGGAAGGCGGAGGCGTTGGAGCGCGCGACCAAGGTGTAGATTGAGGCGGAGCCCAAGCTGGAGGCTGCCAGCGAGGCGACGCGACGCGCGTCGCTGGAGCACGCCCGCGCCAAGGTGGCTCACGCGGAGGCGGTTGCGCGCGTGGCGGCGGAAGCCAACATCCAGCACGTGCCCCAAGGCTACACCGCGGACGGCAATCTAGTCGTCTTCGCGGTGGACGACGACCTCTTCAAAGACATTGGCTCCCTCAACGAGGAGGAGCACCGCACCCTGTGCAATTTGGAGGCCGCCATCAAGGAGAAGCGTGAGCAGGTCACTGCGATACAGGCGGCGGTGCACGAACAGTTTGCGAAGGTCGAGGACATCCGCTCGGGCGCGACGAAACGGCAGCGCACGGGCGAACAGGGACAGGCAGCTGTGGGCACAGGCGGCACCACAGAGTATGAGGAGGAGGCGGCACCAGCTTCTCGGGCCCAGCCGGTCAACCCGACGGACGACGACAGCCCAGAGGTGTTGACAGAGGCTGAGGAAGACCGCAAGGCTGCCTTGGAAGCCGAGCGGAAGAAGATCGCAGAGCGCGCCGAGGCGGGTGGCAAGGTGGGCTCGTCTTCTGCATCGGCTCCTGCTGCTCCTGCTAAGCGTGGGTGACGTTATCCTGGATGCGAGCAGGGATACCACCACGGCGTGCCGCGTGGCATCTTCAAGTTCGAAAATTCTCTTCGGTAGCATTTCTGGATGGGGACCAGAAGCGCGGTCCTTGAGGGAGCAGGCGAAGCAGTGCGATATCATCGGTTTTACGGAGACTCATCTACTTGGACAGCGTCTACAGGAGGCAAAGTCTGAGTTAGGTCACGATGGATGGAAAATCGCAACTACAGAGGCGACGTATACGGGGAGATCAGAGACGGGAACTTCAGGAGGCGAGTGCGTTATCACGCAGAAGCACCTGGCGACCACGTCTTTTGAAGGGCTGCGACAGACAGAACTGGTGCGCACTGGGCGGGATTGCTTCCAGGGCTCTGCGCCCATCTCGTGGCACACGCGTGTGGGGAACGCAGTGGGTACCCTCGTCAGGCTGGGCGCGCTCCTCAGTATGGTTGAGGAGCTGTGGATTGTCATGGGCGACTGGAACGCACATCCTAACGAGTGGCACAGTACTAAGTGGTTGGCTAAGCTGGGCGGGCATCTTGTCATCCCGCGCAACGGGTCAGTGACATGCACCCGCGGCAAAGACACGTTGATCGTTTACGCGATCGCGAAGACGGGCATGGCGGAGGCAGTACGTTTGTCGATCGTTCCTGAAGTGCCGTGGAAGACACACGCTGGCAGATTGCTGGAGGTGAAGTACGCCAAGGTGGGCTGATGGAACAGGACGCTTACGAGAGCGAAGCCGCTGCCGACGGCGGCGAGGCCCACGACGAAGCCCAACCCAGAGAGCAAGAGGCAGAAAAAGCTGAAGGAGGCGAATGAGAGAAGGCGCGCGCAGCTGGAGGAGCACCTGCAGGAGGCGTTCGAGGAGCTCCAGCAACCGGTGTCCTAGGGCATTCAGGAGGAGAAGCTCCCCTTCCACATCTCCGAGGAGACGTGGGAGCAGGCCCAGGCACTAGGCCAGGTGGAAAGGTGGGATCATATCCCGCATTTCCTTCTGGATAAGGATACATCTTGCAGGGATCGGTTGGCCCAGGACTTCGCTGACTGAGTAACCGACTGGGGGAGGTCACGATCATCCATCGCCACCTGCAGGACACGGAGGCAGCTAAGGTACGCGGTCGAGCTCATGGGCATCGTGTCACATGGGAGCAGACGTGCGCTACGCTACTCCTGATCCTGCCTCCGAATGGTGGAATCTTTGTACGACCAACCTGGTCAGAGCGGGCGTACTGCGGCAAGCAGAACGATTATCCGATGTAAAGTTGGCCTACACAAATATTGAGGAGTTGTTGGCTGCGAATTGCAGCAATGACATGTTTACGATTACCCGTTCGAGTGTTGGCTGATAATGATCAGCACAACCACGGAATTGAATCACGAAGACCTTGAGGAGCTTCAAGTGCAAGCTGAGAAGTACAAGAACAGAGTCTTGGGTTGGTCACTTTCGAACGCTCGACGAGGCTTCCAGGTATGGGCTACGAGAATGTGGAAACCCACACCTGGAGTTCTGCATCGTTATGCCCGCGGCGTGTTGGACAAGCCAGATGAGCTCGTCGCGGACTCGACCCTATTCCTCAACCAATGGGATGATGGACTACCGCGCTGACAAGTGGCAGAAGGTATGGAGCGGCAAGAGCTACGACCAGGCGAAGATCCCCGCGGGTCTAGAGCACGTCCACAAAAGGTCATTGCAGGAGGACATGGAGAAGATCACTACGGAGCAGATCTACCAAGCCACGGCCAGTATGAACGCGAAGAGGTCGAAGGACATAGACATGATGGAACCCGTGGAAGTTCAGAGACTACCACACCGAGGAGTTAAAGCAGCTTCGCGACGTCCTCTGCAATGTAGAGAAGTAGGGCGCGCGGCCAGGTCAGCTCCTCCTTCCTGGTCATCGGCGCGGTCGCCCCGAAGCCACGTGGAGGCGATAGAGCAGTAGGGCTTATACCGCTGCTGGTCAAGCTGTGGGCGAAGGCGCGCAGCTCAGAGACGCTTCAGTGGACACGTGGCGCAGATGAGCCTTGGGACACGGCTATACGCGGGTCGTCAGCGCTGTAGGCGGCAATAGTACGTGGTCCACTGGATGAATCAGCCCGAGAGTCATACGTGGCATCGTCGACGCTGCTGTTAGACATCGCGAAATGTTACGACAGCTTGGACAGTTCGAAATTGTGAGCGGCTGCCCGGACGCAAAGCTTTCCAGCGATGGTGCTACTGTTGGAGTTGCAGATGTGCTTGGCCCCACGCGTACTTACAGATCGGAGTTGGATTTCGCATCACATTCAGTCGCGGCGAGGCATTGTAGCGGGCTCTCTCAATGGCGGTCTTCTGAGGACCCATGCTGGAGAGGGTACAGTCTTTACGAAATGCAGATAATGCTTCGCACATTCGTGGGCGACACGGTCATACGAACGGAAGGCACTGGGAAGCAGGTCACGGACACCATGGTCGAGGTTGGGAGTGACATGTGCGAGCAGTTTCAGCAGGCTGGTTTGGTCATCAGTGGCAAGACGGTGGTGGTGGGATCTACTACGAGTATGCCAAACCAAGCTGCAGGAGGACTTCGACGATCATGAAGCCCTGTCACATCTACGCTGGAAGCGGTCGATCCTGGAATGGACACGGGCGCAGGGAGACGCAGATCATGTAGAAAGGCAAACAAACGATCGGAAAGTCAAGGCGAAAAGAGTAATCAAAATGATACGGAGAATGCGAAGACATGCCAAGTTGCGAAGTATCACGTCGTCAGTGTGGACCACGGGAGCCAGACCGCAGATCACATGCGCGGACCAAGCTTACGGAGTACAAGGCTGCATGATGACGGACTTACGACGACAGGCGGCGCAATGTTCAGTGGGTTTTTGGTCCAGGGCGCTGCTTGACCACATCAATGGTTATGAAGAACAAGGACCCTGCGAGATCCATGCGCCGAGAGCATCTTTGCTCGTGGCTGCAGCTGTGGCGAGAAAATACATCGAGAATATCATGCACGTATTGCCTCGGCCTTGGACAGCATTCGCAAAAGGCCGTTGTTGGCAGGGTCGAGACGCTGGAGATTGGTGAAGGGACCGATTGGAGCTACAGTTGCCACTTTGATGTAGATCGGATGGATACCACATTCGCCGATGCAATGGGAATCGGGTCAAGCTACATGGACAACCCCCTCTTGTGCAGATGCAGAGCTTGAGCAGGTTCACGGAAATGTTTACGGATATCCTGGACAATGTGGAGGGGACGGTGGACAGACAGCTCTGGAGCATGGCGTCGCACCACGTGGGGAGTAGTGACCTGCAAGGCGGCGCCGACATGTACCAGGTGCGCAGGGAGCTGAAGCGGCGCAGGGTCGACGACACGACCGACAACTAGGCGCAGAACGTGGTGGTCGTGACGGGTGGCCAATGGACGCGTGAGAGGCTGAGCCAGGCGGGGTACAACGTTCCCAGCCTACTCTGCCGCGATGCCATAAGGCACCTGAGAGTCTGTTTCATCGGAATTGGGAGTGCGAGGCCAATGTTGGCCACGAAGACTTTGAGAAATCGGATTCGCTCTCGGCCCAGGCGCGAGCGAACATCGAGAGTTCGCCTAGTTTTTGGCTCCGAGGGATTCCAAGTCGGGCTGAGACGGTCCCGACTTTTTATGATCGACCTCCCTTGGTGTTCCAGTTCGGATCGATCCCAGACATTCTCAGAGACGCCGAAGGTTTCGCTACCGCGTTCGGGGACGGGTCGGGTGGGAGGTGTTCTGATGACCCTCGGCGTCGACGTGTAGGTTCGGGGGTAGTTGATTTGGCCACCGATGGCCAGCAGTGGAAGTCGGTCTGGGGCTTCGGGGCGACCCTCCAGGGAAGGAGGCAGAGTGCGCCTCGCGCGGAGATTACCGCCTTCGCCAACGCGTTGGACGAAATCCCA